ACACAACAAAACAGCCTGGTGTGGCGTTATCCAAATGGACGTTTTTCTACAGAATCGGTTTAAATGAATGTGAGATACTCAAATTTCTAGAAGATTCAAACGTGATCGGGAATGGGGCTTCTGGAAAAGTCTATAAGGCGAGTCTAAGCAACGGAGAAATAGTTGCTGTGAAGAAGTTGAGGAACAAGGACGAGTTTGACATTGAAGTTGAAACGTTGGGGAAAATCAGGCATAACAACATTGTGAAGTTATGGTGTTGCTGCGATGCAGGAGACTGCAACTTATTGGTCTATGAGTACATGCCAAGAGGAAGCTTGGGAGATTTGCTGCACTGCCGTAAAGGCGCTGGATTGCTGAACTGGCCAACCAGGTTCAAGATTGTTTGTGATGCTGCCGATGGTCTATCCTACCTACACCATGATTGCCTGCCGCCTATAGTTCACCGGGATATCAAGTCTAACAACATCTTGCTGAATGATGAGTTTGGTGCGAAGATTGCGGATTTTGGTGTAGCAAAAATAGTTCGCTGTGCTGAGTCTATGTCTGTCATTGCTGGTTCTTATGGTTACATTGCACCAGGTAACTTTCATACTCAGCATTTTGGTTACTGCTCTTTTCTGCTTTTATACCATGTTAATGATTTGAATTACAATCTCACTGGAGATGGAGTTCCAATACCTTTTATTTATTTTTATCCCATGGTGGTTTAGGATAGCTTAACTCGTTTATTTATTAGTCTTCTCTTTATGCTAAATATTGGGTGCAAATGTTGCCAACATATGAGTACCTTGAAGAAATTTAGTCCCAGAACCCGAAAGATACGATAGCAAACAATCAAGAATCCTAACGGTCAAAATTGTTAATCTGGAGCTCGAATGATTGTAAATATCAAGCTAAAACGTGAACTGTTGTTCGTCTTGATCTATTTAATTTTCATTGAATTTTATGTTCAGTTTCAATATATTTTCCCTTCGCGAAAAGTGTATAAGTTTTAACAAATAAAGGATATTAAACTTAGTGAAATTACGGAGTATAAAAACAAATACTCATTGATGTTTTAGATCAATAGTTTTCACTTTTAAGATGCCTTACCAATTGATCTAACAGCTGCTATTATTTGGTTGCAGAATATGCATATACTTTACATGTGAACGAGAAGAGCGACATTTACAGTTTCGGAGTGGTGATGCTGGAGCTGGTGACTGGAAGAAGGGCTGTTGAGGCTGCGTTTGGGGAGAAAGATTTAGTAAGCTGGGTTACATCAAATTTGAATAACAATGGACTTGATGAAGTGATTGACCCAAACATGGATTCCAGTTTCAAAGAACATATATGCAAGGTTCTTGATATAGCTCTTCTATGCGTTAGCAGTGTTCCGCTTAACCGTCCTTCAATGCGCAATGTCGTTAAACTCCTCCGAGAATCACATGGAAATCTTTACCCAATGGTTAGGAAGAATTGACTATTTTCAGAATAGGTGTAGAAGATTAAACTCCTGCGAGTCTCTCTTGATAAATAGGTATAGAAGGTTAAGGTCACAATTTTCAGAATTAGCTATTTGATTCTTCTTGTAAGTTGCATCCTAAATCTATAAAAGTTCCCGTCCTTTCATGTGTTTTAAGAAAACACCCATTCAAACCAGAATAAAAACATAAACAAAAATTAAACAAGTGAGCAGAACTGTTAAAGGCTCTACATAAGATGATAACCAAAAAGCACACACAATTCACAAAGTAGAGTTAAAGTAGCGCCTACATCTGTCCAACACTACCTCAGAACTGTTCTGCTGCCACCTCCGTGATGATGCCACCACCACCACCACCGTAGTATAGGGTTAAAAAGAACATTTGAGATAAGAAAATTCACGGAGAACAAGTGTGGAGATAGATTGTGAAGGTCGGCAGGAATGATACGTGGGAAATATAAAAAATGATATAGTAGTACTAGATATGAGTTTTGTACTCCCTCCGTCCCAAAAACAACTTCCCACTTTCCTTAAATGGATGTCCCAAAATTAACTTCACACTTCAATACTATCCTTATTTAGAAAATTGTCTACATCAAAAAAGTGATAAACAGTGTCAAACAGTGTTTAAACAGTGTCAAACAGTGTTTAAACAGTGCCAAACAGTGTTTAAACAGTGCAAAACAGTGTTTAAACATTGCCAAACAGTGTTTAAACAGTGCAAAACAGTGCACTCTACAGTAAAGTCAAATTTATTTTCTAAAAGTGTGTGAAAGTCAAACCGGGAGGTTGTTTTCGGGACGGAGGGAGTATAATTTAAGAATCAAACGAAGCTGGTCTTGGTAGACGTCCGCCTAGATAAATGTGTATGGCTTGCATTGAAAAAGTTACAATTCAATAGTGTTATTGAGTGCTATTCTTATTAGTCCAACAGGAATTTTCGTCACTTCGGATTCATTTAAACCAAAAATAAAGTTATTGATTTAATTTTTTTGCTCATTAATATCAAGACCGGTCCTAGAAAAATGGAGACCTTGTGCAAGAGCAAAAAAATTAGACCTTTTTTTCCTTCTAAAAATTAGAACCACTATCTATCAAGATGATAAAATGAAAATACCAGCAAAATATTAAAAGTTTATGTCAAAATACAAGTTACTACGTATTAGCTAACAATTACAAACCCAAAAACAAAATTTATTTATTTATAAAAGTATAATAGTGAAACAATTACAAATTTAACAACCTAATTGCCCAATCATATAAATTATTAAAATTTATTACAGAATTAACATCTTAACACCTAATTGTTGTTGCGAGCTGTAATTGTTAAAACTGGGAGGGATTCCAATTACACCATCAATCTCCATGCACTTGCGCACACGCGGCATTCCACCAATCCATCAATCCATCATATTCATAAGCCAGCAAGCTACGAGTAGCTCAATTGGTTGAGTGATGGGACCATTTGAAACATTGTTCAAAGATCGAATCCTATGTGATGGGCTAGCTGAAACCTTGATGCACACGGATACAAGGTCTATCACCATACGATTGACTGAGTTACCGTGACTTGCATTTTCCTAACTGCCTTGTCAGGTCGGAATGGGTGGGGTTGTGGATAAGTGGATTCAACCTTTTGGAACATCATAAGGGAGCGAGCTACGACCAAGTGGACCAATCGCTCTAGCTTCAATCTTCGAGCTCGTCTATATTGAAGATGTTCAGTGCCGATCCTATCTAATCTCGAGCCTGAGTCGAACTTCATAAAAAGGCCCCTGTAAAGTACAATATTTTGTAGCATTTTTTAAAGTTACAGATGTAACATCAGCTGCAATTGCATCGACCTCCTTTTCACCTCTTAAGTCTTCTACGGATGTGCTCTCCGGAGCGGCTCTTTCGTTCAAAATCAAGTATTTATTAATATTTCCAGTTTGACTTTGGATTAACGAGTCAATACGTGATTTCCTTTCCCTCTTTTGAGACCCAGACATGCATTGGGGAGGCATGATACTAAAGATAAATAAAACACAATTTATTGAAATCATGTATATGATAATATTAGTTTTTTAGTGACATAATTAGTTTAACAAATGTGCTAAATAATGCACCCATGTCACTAAATTAGAGAACATAATTACATAACCTACTTAAAATTTAAATTTAAAATAAAAAAAATTGTTTAATTATGCATCTAAAAATCATTTGAATATTCAAAATTAAGCTCAAACTTAATTTTCTAAATGTATGGATCAATTATCAATCACTAGGGTCTCAAATCAACCTTTTAACAACTTATATTTATCTCCAATTAAGACAAAACAAGGTTTTTTATTGTGCAAAACAAGTTCAAAATAGGCCCACAAACTCTCTTACTTTACAATCTCAAAAGTCAAAAGATTTACAATCTCAAAAGTCAAAAGTTTAAAACTCAAAAGATATTCACCAGACACCAAAAATTAAACATCAAAACATAGAAGAAAGAAAGGTTAAAAGCCTAGTTGGTTAAATACGGTACGGGAATTAAACGGTGTTCAATACGGCGGTGTTTTATTCGGTGGCATGGACAAAAAAACGGTCAAAAAAACGGTAAAAAAAACGTTGACTTTTAAAAAACGTTTAAATACGTATACGTGAATTATACGATTTTTTTTTGAAAAAATCGGACTAAAAAAACGGACATTATTTTTACCATTAAAACATACTAGTATTTAGATCATAAAATACATATAACAAAAACCTAAAAGAAAAACAAACCAAACACATTTTGAAAAGAAATTTAAACTAAACATGCATTCAATCGTATTTAACTAACTAGTAAATCATAATATCATATTACTCCATAAAAAGATCACAATATAACTGATAGCATAAGTTCATGACAAGAAAAGAAATAGGAATTAAGTCAACATATAAATCCAGCAACAATTATGTCTAACAATGTAGCACATCATAACAAAAAAACCAAAATGAACTCATCATGTTCATCAAATAGCATCCAAGTTAAACTCGTCATCTTCATCACCATCACCGTCATCGATGGTTAGACAAATTGAGTCAAGATTGTCAGGTCCTTCCATTGAATCTATGATTGAAGCCTCTTCCATCGTAAGAGCTCCACTACAAATCGGTTCCACTTCTTCTCCGTAATCCGGCCAATCCTTTAGACTTGTCAAATCAATTGGTTTCATGTCGGCGGCCACTTCGTTACTTTGAAACTTCTCTATCATCATGGAATTCATCCTCACATAAACTAGAGTTCCAAGCATTTGAGGAGTCAACCTGTTTCTCTTCTTGGTTTGGGCCGCTTCAAAAGCACTCCAATTGCGTTCACATGAAGAAGAACTACATGGCTGACTCAAAATGCGAATAGCATATTTTTGAAGCACTGGAAGAACATCACCACAAACATCTTACCATATTCCTTCAACAAAAAATAAGTGAAGGACATACAATTAAGAAATAAAAAATAAATTAAACAATAGTGTATTCAAATAAATCATTTACGTTAAGATTTAAAATAGTTAGAACAAACTTACTAGGATGATATGTTTTTAGCATTGCTTTGGCAGATGAGGAGAATAAAGGGGCATAAGACATGCGATAAAGTTGCACTTGCTCAAGAAAAGACTCCTTTTCGGCCACTGAAACTAGATTATCATAAATGTAACTAGTTCCTTGTTTCATCTCCCAATTTTCCTTGAAAGAGTCACTAAGCATATATGCGGGATTAAGGAAGGCAGCTGCAGCATGGATGGGGTGAAGAATATTTTCATTTCGCCTCTTTTGCAATAGTAACTTTATGCGGCCATATTTACCCTCGTTCAAAGCACTCTTAAAGTCGATAGATTCTTTTGCCATCTCCATTGCTTGATATAAATACCCAGAAGTGGATCCATCACCATCAACTAAACGAAGGATTCTCACAAGAGGCTCTAAAACATCAATAACTTCTTTTGCACGCGTCCAAAAATCGGGATCTTGAATGATACATGTGACCCTTTTCCCTTCAGATGACTTAGTATACTCTAAACCCCTCCAAATAGGAGATGCCACGAAAAACCTTAATGCATTCTCAACCTCAAGAACAGATTGAAGAGCAATAAAATTCGAAGCAAATCGAGTGGCACACGGTTTTTTCAATTCCCTCCCATTTGTAGCATCTCTCATTAATCCAGTAATAATTTGATGCCTATACATAAACGACTGGATTGACTTTGCATCATCAACAGCACTCCTCACCCACTCAAGATCCTTATAAATGTCCTTAAAAAGCAATTGAATGCCATGAGCAGCGCATTTGGTCTTATACATGGTGGGGTACTTTCCAACTAACATCTCACCGGCACTTTCAAAGTTCGAGGCATTGTCAGTCACAAATTGAACAACATATTGTGGTCCAAGTAAATCAATAACTTTAGAACACAATTCTTTTAACAAATATCATGTTTTCCTCTCTTAAGAAATCTCAATAAATTGCAAGAATACGGCACCTCCAGGAGAGTGTGCAATAAAATTAATATAGCACCATTGTTTGAGATCACTCCAAGTATCAGACATTATAGTACAACCAGTTTTTTCCCAAGATTTTTTTACATTCTTAACATATTCACCAACCTCTTTCTTTGCTTCCGGAATAAGCTTTGTTCTCAAAGTCGTGTAGCTAGGTAACCTATAAGTTGGTCCAAACTCACCCAAGGCTTTCACTAAGTTCTTGAAGGAATCACTTTGAATAACATTAAAAGAAATATTATTCATGATGAAAAACTTAGTAAGCAACTTATCCACACCACTTTTATCCATCTTTTTTATCATCTCAGGCATCGTGGTTTGTTGCAAACCCATGAAAGAAGAGGGATTATCGTTCATACCAGAAGAGGGAGTACTGATCGCACTTTTGCTTCTTTTATTTGAGTTCTTTTCCAAAGCAATGAAGGCTTGTGCTTGAACATCATCGGGAACTTGAGTACAAATTTCAACATCATGGCCTCTGAGTCCAGAAAGATGAAACTTTACCCTCGCTATTCCACCTGAATACTCCTTCCGACAATATCTGCATTTGAATTTATTATCAAGCTCATCTGCGTACTCCCAAAGAGGATCTTTTTTCCTCACCATTATACCACCTAATAAAGAGCATAATATATAATAAATTATTGTTAGAACAAAAAATATTAACTTACAAATAAATTTACATGACAAATAACCCTTTTCGAATAACTAGATTCTAGAGGCAGAATGTTGATAATTTCGTTTAGCAGTTTAGCTACATACATTATATCTTTTAAAAAATGATTTAATTATAATAATAATGGAAGAATAATTACTCCGTATTTAGTTTTTATGAAGTAATTGATGATCAAGTGATGATCAAGTAACTTTAGTAAATAAGAATAATTATATCGTAAATTGCAAAAATAAATTGTTGCTTTCACAAATCTAAACATAAGAACGTAATAGGCATATCATTGAATAATTACTAATCCTTTAAGTGTCTAAAATCTAAATACGAAGTATGATGAAGTCATGAAAGTATTGAAACATATCATTAAAAACCTGAGTTCAACTTTAGATTTTAGAACCCAACGGGATGGAGAAGATCGTCGAAGTCTTCAGACGTGTTCTGTTGATAACTTGATACTTGATATTCCTTAGAATCCGTACCGATTATGGAAGGGTCCGATATTGATGCTGTGAATTATGGATTTTTTTGTTTTCAAAAAAAGTACGAATCTTTTAAGATGGAAGGGGTCTACACTTCGGATTTTTAGGAATCGTTTCCTATTCTAAAACTAATAAATCAATTGCCGGCATTTAGTCATGTACCGTTTTTTATAAAAATTCGTTGGGAAGCCGTATTTTTCCGTTTAAAACGCACCGACCTTTTTTTCCGTATAAAACGCTTTTTTTTAATCAAAAAAACGGTACGGGTTTTAAACGAGTTTTAAACGGCAAAAAGCTAACTAGGGTTAAAAGCATAAAAGCTAAGGCAATGATAGAGACTTACCTTTTTTTATTTTTGGTGGTTGATTGCTCCAAGCCTCCTGCCCTAGCGGACCGAGTGCTGCAAGTCTGCAATAAGGCAAAGGCAAATCAACAAATTACTCTTCTAATTCTTCTTCTCAGGTTTGGCAATCGGCAGTCACACAACACTTAAGCACTGGCCACCGGCGCACTACACTGGTTCGGTCGTTCCTCTTCTATCTTCGTTGGTACTCCGTACTTGGTCTATAGGTCGCCTATTTCGGTTTCCAAACGCAGCAGCCATCAGAATTAAACAAAGGCATATATTTTTAATTAGAAATATATCTATATAATAGAAAGACATCTAAAATGTTGGGCCCTCAAAATTTTGACATTTTTGGGCCCCTGAGGCCCATGCCTCAATGGCCTCACAGTAGGCACGACCCTGAAGATGTTTGGGAAATGATTGATTAGACAATATTAGTTGATCGATACTCCGTAGTTGATACCAAAAAAGCTGAAAGGGAAAATGACGGGGCATCCGCGTTTAGATGAAGTGATGTTATTACCAATTTACCATCACTATAAAAGCCGAAAAGCTATAAAAGAAAAGAGAATGTTAACTAGAGTTAGAATTTTGATTGAAGTGATGTATATTACGGTCATAGGGGCGGAGCCAAAGTACTAGACCGGACTAGGCCGGTACAAAGAATATTTTAAAAAAAGATTTACACAAAATTTTTTATCATAAAATTTAAGTCATTTTTAAAATTTAGGGTGAGCTATGGGCTAGGTTTGCCCACCCTAGCTCCGCCCATGATTATGGAGTACCATTTTTACTTTCATAAAGAAACAAGAATATGCTACTGTATTAGAATTCAGAAGTTACATGTGCTTTTTTGTCCATATGGTTTATAATCGAATTATTCTAAATGCATTCATGATATACGTGCATTTTGCTGTACTTCAATTTATTTTACATTGTACTTTCTTAATATTATATTCTTACATTGCATTTTGCGGCGGCTGAAGGCTTTGTCCGCAAGTTTTTTCCGTCCGCAACAAGGGCCTAGGCGCAGCTGGAATTCGTTCAGCGTTGCGTCTAGTTTTGGCTTGGTGCGGCGATCTGGGTTTGTGTTGTCGTGTTTCCAGGCGGAGGTGCAAGGGACTGCAGGGTTGAAGATGGTGTGGCTGGGCATCTGTGGGAGGCCACCCGAGTTCAGCAATTCCGGAGAGGGCCAAGGTTATGCGCCTAGCAAGGCTGCGAGGTATGAAAATCTGTTGCTGGGTTGGATTTTCCTAGCCTTGTTAGGCAATGTGATGGAGGTTAGATCTATTGTTTTTTATCCGGGTGGTACAATGTTGGGATCGTGCTTAGAGTATGGGGCTGATTTGGATTCCAGACGGTTGGGGAGGCGGGTGACGTGGTGGCTATGGTTGATCTGGCACGGAGAGATTCAGCTTCGGATGAGGGAAAAGAAAAATGAAGAGTTCATGCTTCGCCCCCCGCCTGAACCGCCGCCATGGGGAAACCGTGCAGATGGGGCTCACAAGAGTGATTTACTAGCTATTTTTTATCTTTATCAGTCCTGTCAGTTGTGTTGTTTCTTAGTTACTCATGTTGTTTTTCTCATTATTTTGAACTCTAGTGGTAGGTTGGTAGTTGTTTTTTTGTGTTTGGTTTGGGATGTTAGTTTTGGTGGAAGCGATAAGGCTTGTTTGGCCGAGGAAAGCTTCGAAGCTCTCACATGGTTCGCGAATAGTCTCGCTCTTTCCGGGGTGGTCTATTCTAAGTCTAGCCAGAGAGTGGGGGGGCCTTTGGGCTATGCGGAGCCTCACGAAGAGGTTTGGCGTTACACGTGGGGTTGAAATTTTAGATGCTTCATGGAGGACATTTGGGTTGATTGTAAGGGGGGAGGTATGTTGAGTCGTTTGGATGATATAATATAATTAGTTTCCTTTCAAAAAAAAAAACTCAATATTATTATAGACATTACGAAGTGCAAAATGAACGTGAAAATAAAAGTACTCCACTTGCCCCTTGAAACTTATAGTTTATAAGTTGTTCTCTTCGTCTTATTCTTATTACTTATTGCTTATTCTTATTGATCAGATCAGATCAGAAAGATTCAAATCAGATCAGAAACATTCAGATCAGATTAGAAAGATTCATATCAGATCAGACCAGATCAGAAACATTCAGATTCAGAAACAGCTATTGATCATTTTATTTTTATTAAAGATGTATGTTTTATATTTTTTTTGAATGTATATTGAACAAACAATAATTTAGCATCATTTTTATAATATAAACATTTTTATATTAAAATATATAATTGGTCAAGTTAACTTCATTTATAAAAAAAGTCGAAGATGAAGAAGTTTGAAAGGAGAGAGTAAGTATTACTCCCTCCATCCTAACCAGTATTTCCTTTCAGGGATGTTCCACAATGATAGTCTTGTTTCCCTTTTTGGTAAAGAATTAAAAGTGGATTACCATTTATATCCCTACTTTTTAATGAACAGTAAAAGTAAAATGATGAATGCTACAATAAAATAAAGTTCTTTAGTCTTTCTACCACACTTTTTTAATTTTTGTGCCTAAAAGAAACAAGACTCTCATTTTGGGACGGAGGAAGTATTTAATAGCTGTCATATTACTAAAATAAAACGTGTTTACACAAATATGACTAATAGTTACTGCAATGTAGTGTTATGGTAAATTAAGTTTAAAAATTGACACGAGCTACTATGATTCCATTACTATAATCACTAGTCACATTTTTGTAAACAATGTTTATTTTAGTCATATATATGCAATTATTTCATATATATTTTACTAACTTTAAAGAAGATGAATGACCATATCTATATAATTGGACTTTGTTTTACTCATAATTGTGATAAAAAAAAGTTCATTTGTTTTTAAAGTAAGAATAATTATTAATATTAAAACTAATCATATTTTGCATCTTAAAATCAGTCCTAATCACTTACATAATAACAATATTTGAGATATGACATGTAATTAATTTTCATACGGTTTATAATTTTAATTGTTGTTTAGTAGTTGCAGCTCGTTTCTTGATTTAAGAAAAGTTCAATTAATGCTGTGGTACGGGCGAACGATAAGTGATGGGCTCTCTAACTGGGCCCTCCATGTGGAGCAGTCTTTCTCACGATGAAGTCCATAATCAATTTAGTATACTTGTAAAATGCCTGGAATAATGGGCCTTGATGGACTATATAAATACGGTTCCACAATTGAACATTTATTGGCGCTGGCACTATATTGACCTATTCAAGTTTTATTGAACTTATTCGAGTCATTGATTAGAGGTGACCAAGGATGTTTTTACTCGGACTGAAATTTATTAGTCTGGTCTGGTTTGTTTAAATCTTGTTTGGTCTGATTTGTTTGATAAACGTTAGGTTTCTGTGTATTTTATAATTAAGAAATTCAGATCTGGTCTGGTCAGTTTAAGTCTGATCTGGTCTATTTAAGTCTTGTATGATCTGGTCTGGAATTGAAAACAGACCAAGTAAAAACAACTTAGATGACTAAGATTAGAAGAAAATGGATGTCACAATTTCTTAAGAAACTTGATTAGCATTATACAATAACGTACTATATGTCTATATGTTATTATGTTATACTCCGTATTATACTGTTACAGAAAAGACCAGGTCCCTCCAGAGGGACGGGAGGGACCGTCCGAACTTTACTGTTTGGGGCGGTTCCCGGTGAAATTTTTTGATGAAATTGTTTGAGCATGTTCCTCATCAAGTCTAGTTTGTCCATACCAAATTTCAGCTCAAAATTCGACCGGGAAGGCAGTCAAATAAATTCTTGAAGCTTACTGCACATTTTGCGCATATATAAAGTGCAGTAAGTTTTAAGAATTTATTTGACTGCCTTCCCGGACGAATTTTGAGCTGAAATTTGGTATGGACAAACTAGACTTGATGAGTCACATGCTCAAAAAATTTCATCGAAAAATTCCACCGGGAACCGCCCCAAACAGTAAAGTTCGGACGGTCCCTCCCGTCCCTCCGGAGGGACCTGAGCAGTCCTCTATACTGTTATTATTATGATCTACGATTCATTTGGACAAGAATCTTCGATATTGACTAAAATGTTTTCATCTATAATGTCTCATGGTTTTTAGGTGATAAAATAGAGTGATTTACCGAAACACGGGAAAAGTGGGTTGGGGTTGCCAAAATACAGGTTTTTTTTAGGGTTTACCAAAAAACGGGAGTCGGAACACCCAGTTCCGACTAGAGGTAGGGTTTCCAACAAAAAACATCCCCTCCTGTCGGATTAGCCACTACCGACTAGGAGGTTTTTTTTGTTTTTTTTTTATTTTTTGCCGAATTCTTAAGTTTTTGATTTTGAGTTTTAAAAACTAAAAGTTTTAAATTCTAGGGCTAAATTCTATCCATTCCAAATTTTAAAGTTTTTTTAGATTCCTGACATGTTTTTTAAAATGAAAACTTAGCATTTTGATTTTGTGAGTAACATAACATTTGATTGTTTTATATTGTTTTTTAATCCATTTGGATTGTGAATTTTGTTTTAATTGCAATTTTTGTAATTTTAAGTGCAATTTTGATTTAATCCATTCGTCAAATGAGATACAAATTTGATTTTGTTTTAAGTGCAATTTTTGTAATTTTAATGGAAGTGAACAAAACAAATGTAGTTTTCAATATAATTTATTAATGAATAGACAATACATACAATATTAAATTTAATACTACATCTAACGTTGCGTGCTCTGCCCTGCTCCGTCCCCACCGCCAGTGTTCCAAGGCCCCGTTGTGTCTCCATAGTAAAACGACGAATTCAGAAATGACTCAACATAATCACCCGCTTGTGTGGAGCACTGATAAGAATCATAATATGGCGGTGGTTGATCAAATGAGACACCTTGATGCGTTGAGAATTGAGGGGGTGGTTGATGAAATGAGACACCCTGTGTTGAGAATTGAGGGGGCGATTGTGAGTCCTCACCCACACCTTCATGTTCATCTGCATCATCCTCTTCATCACTTCCACCTTCAACTTCATCTTCATAATGGAATATGCCCTGGTGGAGCATCTCTTCATCACCTACGTCCAGGGCCATCCGCCGTAGTTGTTTTTGACAGACCTCATAACTCGCGCGGTCGTCTAAGAGCTGATACACCTCGTGAACGCCTTGCTTCTGCATAAAAATGTAACACGTGTAAATAATATGACACGATATATGTTAATGAATATGGTATGTATTCAAAAACTTACCACACTACCCCAATCGTGTGCTGTCGGGGTGTAGCCTGTGGTGGGCACATTGTGAGAAGGGTTCTGGACACGTGTCATACCATGCTTCTTGTACCATTTTCGGTACCTATTAGTTGCTTCGAGGGACATATGTCGATCATAATCAAGAAAGTATATATTATGTTGTATGGCCGCCCACATCGCCAAGGCACCGGTTACTATGTTGGAACGATTGCCGTGATTATCAGTAC